CCACTTGTCAAAAGCTTTGAGCTCGTTTTCAACTTCACGATGAAGGATTTCGTGCTCAGAATTTTCCAATTTTGACTCAACCTCACAATGATTTCAACTCTACGACAGAGGATATTCGATATGGACAAAATTTGTGTCTTGTAATCTTTGCTCCATTTTTTGTTACACGATAATGAGCAAAGAGGGGCAGCTGAAGACACCAGATTTTGTCCTGCAAACCGAGGAGTCTTCATGTAACCAAAAAAGAATAGTTGGATTAGGACTCAAATACTAGTCTAAAATAGAGTTGGATTAGGACTCAAATACTAGTCTAAAATAGGGTTTTTTAGTACTATAAATAAGCCTTGTAATTACCATACCAGGGGATACGATTATCATACGGAATTACGCACACAAAAATACCCAAAGTAAATATGCAATAAGTCCCAAGATTCGCTTGTAATTTTCAACAGAGAAATAAAGAGGTATTTTTACCTATATTGCTTCGATTCTCGCTTGCATGTGGCTTGTTTCACTTTTTCTTTTCCGTTTTTACTTTGAAAGGGTCGATGAACACAAGGGAACCGAGATCTTTTCTCTTAGATCTACGCTTCCTCGAGGCTTATTTTGAAAAACCGGTTTGATTATCGGTTAAAGGAGGGGAAGAACTTTTTAAAAATCTATATTAGTCCCTTTATTTATTATAGGGATATTTTATTCATTTATTTTTATTATTCATGTTATTATTATACGTATATATATATATATTTAAATTATTTTCATTTGTTTTTTTACTATATTTTATTATATATATATATTTCTTTAATATTTTACTTATAAGTCTATTATTACTATATATATTGTAATTATCTTTATCTAGTTATATATATTTTTTTATACTTTTAATAGTTTATTTTTATACCTATTATTAATATATATTCTTAATTATTTTTATTTGATTATTTATTTATTTACATAATATCTTATAACTTTATATATATATATATATATATATATATATATATATATATATATATATATATATATATTATTTTTTATTATTTTCATTTTTTATTCATTATTATATTATTTTTAAAAACTTGTGTCTTTATCATTATTATTATTAAACATATATATATACTACTAACTTAGAGGACCCATTTTTTGTTTTATTTCTAACTAAAGTCTCTCCCACTTTCCTCTTTTTATCTTATTTCTGACTAAAGCCCCCCACTTTCGGTGAAGTGAGAGGGTAACTTTTCTATTTTTAAATATTTGTTGTATATATATAGCTTATTTATTTATTAATACTTTGATGTGTATATATATATATATATATATATATATATATATATATTCCTTTTTCAAATATTACTATATATAATTATTACTTTACTATTTTTTTCTTATTTTATTTATTTATTTTATTTTTTCCTTTTATTTTATTCTCTTTATCTTATTTATTTTCTTTACCTTGTTTATTTAACAAATTTCTCGATTTTTTAAGGATATTTTCAAATCAATCTAAGGTAAGTAATCAGGATCAAATTTTACCTTTTTATTTAAAATTACAATTTTCTTAATTTAAGACAACTGAAAATTATGTGGTACCAAAAGGGCGGTTCAAGGGTGCTAACATTCCTTGACCGTAACCGAATCCCGAACTCGACACGTTTCTGGTACAACGCAGATAAGGTAAAATGGTGTCCGACCCACCTAAATTCGTTTTAAAGTGGTCAGTGGCAACTCCAATCCATATTTTCCTAAGTTAATGCCCAATTTCGGGACCCAACCGAAAGACGGTTGCGACACATATATATTAATATTTTTAGATCATTATCATAAATTAAAGAAAAACCAACTTATTATGAAACAGCACATTCAAGTTTATTGTTGCATTCCGTTCAAACGTCAATTTCTCTCTCCAAGTAGATTACGTTGCAAACCATTAGAAATCCTAAAATCATGATAATTTTATATTTAAAAATAATTATATATAAACGATTTAATTCAGTGATTTTGAAATTTTCTAATTATAATTAATATGTACGTAAAAGTATCGTAAAAATAATGAGTACATTCATCTAACAATAATTAAAATTAATTATTATACATAAATAAATGAACTGACAATAAGAAGATGTTAAAATAACTTTAAACATGATATAATTTAGATCAAAATAAATTTAAATTTTTAACTTGTACATATACAAATTTACATGAAATAAAACATTTAAGTTTTAAACCAACAATTGAACCTATTAAACGATTTTAATAATAAGAAATATCTTAAATAAATATTAATATATAATTATCTCAAATTATTTTAAAAAATAAACCAACAATAGGCTTATCTGCACAGTGATGTTTATGTTGTAACAAGGGAATCAAACGTAACAAGTTTCCCACACAAATTGGACCGAATCCATCTTTTAATTGCCTTTTAATATTTGAAATAATTAATATTTTGTGTTGCAAGGAGGCTAAGCCCTAAGAGTTGACAGCAGATGTGACATACCCCAGGAACAAGATTATCAAACGTAACAAGTTTCGCACTCATTTGCAGACTCGAATCTGCAACTTGATTCTTTTGGCATAAGACTATGAAATAAATGTTATTCAATGATAAAATTAAAATTTAACTTCACATCTTATCATATTAATTATAATTTAAAACATACTTAAAACAGAAAATATTCAAAAATAATAATAAATTTGTAAAACATGAAAGATTTATGTTATAGACATGAATCATACGGTCATATTAATTAAAACTAAAAGAACGTCACAATTTTTTTTCTTTTATGATGGATATATTCTTTTACTTCAAAAGATTTCAAAGGAATTTGATTACATACCATGTCAGATCGAATTGCCATTGCCACCATTTGAAACCGTGCCGAGCCGAGTATTCGAATTCATGGTGTTTATTGTGCCAACCTTCTCCAAACGCAAGCAATGTCATCCGGTCTGAAAATGAAGAAAAATCAACTCACATGAGCCGTAGTGGCTGAGGGGAGTAAATAATACCAATTGTTCTTGGATAGATCACCAGTATTCCATGCTTGCATTCCCCAGACATGGGAAGCTGAATTTACAAGCCAAGTGATGTGGTAAACCCATAAAATCCTCACACCCTGCAATGCTCTCATGACAATGCATGCTATTTGCTTATTTATCTTCAATTAACTGATGCATTTTTAACTCATGAACAGTAGAATCTTATAGGAACTACATATATATAGGCTAAAGAATGATAGAAAAATGGAAGAAGTCGCTTACCATTCCCCAAATTAGGAATGGAACCCACCAAGCATAAACAAATGTATGATTTTATGTTAGGAGAGATAAATTTATAAAATTTTAAGCATAGAAATTTTATGGGACAAAAACATATTTTCAATAAAAAAATATAAAGAAAATATCTGAAATATATAAGAATTTAAAACTTTTAGTCGACCTGCTCCTCTCTAGGTCCATCCCTATCACCAAGGGCATAGAGAAGAACTCCAAATGCAATTGGGTGGAGAATATAGGTAATTTGAAGGTACCTGTAGAAGGGTTGCTTCTCTAAATCCCTAACATTGCTTGATTCCTCACGCTGCAAATGTTCCGTTGATACAAAACATCAATTTCCATCATCTCGCATGTTTGAGAAAGAAAAAGAGAAATACCTTTTCAATAACAGTTTTGGGTATCAAAGAACCAGTTCATGTGTCTAAACCAAAACCCTTCAATTGGGCTATGGGGATCTCTTTCAGAATCACAAAACTGGTGGTGGTAACTGTGTGTGCTTACCCAATCAATTGGGTTCCCCTGGAACAACCAAACCCAACAATCAAATGAAAATGTGGATCTCTTTAAGAACCACGCTGCTGTTATTAAAGCCATTGTGGTCTCAACTGGTGAGTTCAAAAGAAAAAGTGGGTTTATAGAAGCAATGGTCAGTTTGCACTTGAAATGCCAAAATTTGAAGATTTCGGGTTGCTGTCAGAATTACACAAGTATTTATCACGGTGGAATGAAAATGTGGATTGTAGGAAAAGAAAGTGGGCAGAGGAAAAAGACGCACAAAGTTTAACTCTCTCCCCAACACTCTATATTTCCCTTGGCAGCATTGAACTTTATCTTTTCATTCACAAATGGAGATGATTGGGATGAACCTTACAGGCAAACAGACCAGTTGAATACTTCAGCCAGGGAAACTTATGCATTTACTCTTAAATAATTTTATATTTGGTGGTTTATGTAATATTAATCTTTTGTATTTATATTTTATATACATATAATAATAATATTTAATAATATTAAATGTTTAAATTTTATTAATTAATTGAAGCGATGCATTTCAATTTACACTAATGTGATGTGATATTAACACGAGGAGATTAGATGATTTCATGAAGAGATGTTAATTGAAAAGATATTAATATGAATAGATGTGATGTTAATTGAATCTCCTCTCTCCTATATCTTGGTTTCATTATTATTTCTCAAAGTTGCATCATTTTTTCAATGTTTGAACTCTATAACTGCAACCAACACTCTTGCAGGGTGATCGATGCAGCCTTGATCTTATTCCGGGGTGCATGGATCTGAGCTCGCATTTATACAACCCTCTAGCTAACATCGATGACAGGTCATGCCCAATCGATTCAGATGTTGACCAGCAACATATCTCATACATAGCCGGTATCAGATAATACATTCATTTAGCAGTGTCCTAGTATTTGATGAATCAATCATCTTCCTGGTACCAACCAGTTGTATGATACGAACTCGAACCGTTCTACATGATCGAAACAAATTTGATTCACTAGGTGGAATGGATCTTTAGAACTTCGGATGGAATGTGTAAATATAAGGCACATTTACCACAGGACACAGCCAGTTTCCGCAAATATAATTATGGCAGTATGATAAATATATCAAGCACCTAATGTAAAAGATTGGATTTCTGAATCTGTTGAACATCAACCTCTTAATAATATTAATAAGTAAACTAAATTTGGAAATCTTTAAAAAGAGTCGATCTAACAAACCTCTTAAATACCACGATAAAAAGTGCAGCCTTTAGTTGTCTTGCTCTGTTCATATTTACCAGCAAGCAAATCAAACAAAATTCCAGCGCCAACACCAACAGCCAAATCAATAGTATAGTGACCCCTGGTAGCTAACAGCCTCAGCGATTGAAGCACATTGAGAGTGTCAAATAACCAAGCCATTTTCCATCTCTGCATTCGCCTCATGTCTAAGGATGCAATCACTGCCCCAGCAACATGCCCTGAGAAGAACAGGAAAAATGACACATTCCCTACTGGAAAATCCACCCCCGACCCTACAACTTCCTGCCATTCATCATCAACCAAATCAATAACTTCTCTAATCAAAATACACCACAATGTTTTATATGTATCTTTATAAAATCAATGTCTATTAAGCTAAGTGAGAAAGAGGATGATGCCTTTAAGCAAGGTCTTAGTTTCAAGTTTTTGAATAGAAAAAATAGACACTGGAATAACTTTCTCGCAATTTGGGAATCAATCAATTATTGTGTTAAGGTTAAATGATAATCAAACTAATTCTATGAAATCAAGCGTTTCAAATGTTGGAAGGATTTGATTGGCAATTTCAAACTGACAAAAATGATGCTGGGAAAATGAAAGCAAGAACTGAAAAGGGGAGGAGGAAATGAAGAGTACTAAGATAAAAATATTAACCTGAGGTAATGGGAGCTGCGTTGTGTAACCAAGAATCCCACGGCATGTAAACATGAACAGAGCAGAAATTGTAGCCCTTGGCCGACCCTCGATTACCCATGCCCATACTATATAAATTGTTTGCATCAGAACGAACACCTAAACACAACCAAAGTTGGATTCAAACTATTTTTTTAATGATTTCTGGAAAATTGACATTTATTTTCCTCTCTTTTTTTCATTTTTGGGTTAATATTGCAAACAAATTCAACATGCAAACTGTGAACAGTATCACAGTTACATCAGGCAATTCAATTCAAGAAATGAAACGGAAACTTAAGAGGTTTCAAGTACCGTATTAAGAGCTGCTAAGAGCGTGTTAAGTTCCGGCCACGAAGCCAACGCGCGATGGAAGGAGCGGGTGACGATGAACCCCCAGTCAAAGGGCGGAGAAGAATCGGGCACCATCCGGAGCGTGTACTCTACGTACATGAAAAACAATAGCCCCGCCGCGAAAACACACGGTATCCGATGATATCTCATCACATTAACAACATCATGGAGTGTCCACATCATGAACGAGGGTTTACCACTATAAACGCCGCCAACATTATAATAAGCAACATTGCCATGAACGCCTGCTTTCTTGTTACGCATAACTTTAACGTTGTTGCTTTTGCTGTTACCCCTTTTGGAAAGCTTATAAGGAGAGCTGAGAAGGGTGGTTGTGGTGGCGGTGATACCGGAGACATTAGAGGAAGATAACTGTTTCATGGTTGTTAACAGTGTTAGAAGAAGGAAAACATGAGAAGAGTATAAAGGGTACAAAATGCAACGGCGGGTTTTCCAAAGAATTGTACGTCAGAAAATTATCCCCCAAAAAGAACAACTTTAAATTTTAGTTGGTTGTTTTTTTTATGGGTAAAGTAAACAAATAAATATATTATTTTATTGAGTCTTAATTATTAAATTTATAAAATGATCTTTTAATTATAGAGGGTTGTTTTGTTGAATCTTTCGACTATTAAAAATTATAAAATGGTCACTTAATTATTTATTATATTCTAAACTCGTTCTTTTTTGTTAAAAAATTAACTATCGTCTGAGCTAAACGTTAACATGTAGACTAAGATACAATAGTTTTTTGAGATTATAAAGTCAGATTTTATCATATATCAGTTAGCAAGTTAACGTCTAACTCGGATTGTTGTAAATTTTTAACAAAAAATGACGAGTTTGGAACACAATGAATAGTCAGGTGACCATTTTGTAACTTTTAATAGTCGAGGGATTCAAAAAAGTAACTCTCTATATTTGGGGGACCATTTATAACTTTTAATAGTTTGAAGATTTAATAAAATAATATCCTAGATTCGATGGATCATTTGTGTACTTTATTCAAGTCACATTAATAAATATTTAAAAATTATTTATATCTATTTTTTATTAAGTTAAAGGTAATTATAAGATAATATTTGTTATAAATATTTTCAATTATTTGACAATAAACATTCAATCATCCTTGCAATCGTCAGTGATCAATCATGTGATCTCTAAAAACAACCGCGATTTTGTTTAAATATTATAATTCTTATTTACAATTGCCTGCTCCTTTGAAGCATATATGGATTGAATAATAAAATAGAATAAAAGAATGAAAGACTTTTCAAACGGATCCAAGTTGCAGTGGAAAGTTGAAAAGTTCAAATCATACGTGGATTAAATAATAAAACAGAATTAAAACGTGGAATACTCTTCACATCCGAAGTGAAAATTTGAAAAATTCCAATCTACATATTTCTGTTTTTTATAGTTTTAAAGTTTTATTGAATTAGCTTATAAAATTTTAGAAATTATTCGATGAATTTAGAATTTAAAATGTAATAATTTATATATTTACGTATTTTAATGAAAAGTACTTTTTTTAGAATTAAGAATAAGTAAATCACAGTGAATTTTAAAATTCAATATAAATACACTAATGACTAAATCAAATCTTAAGAAAACCATCAAAATGATATTTAATATAAATAATAAAAATGAAATATATGTTTTCATCCCTTATTTACAGTTCTAAACAAAAGAGTGACAATGCGTGATTAATCTTAATTACATATAAGAAATTAATGGTGAGATATATAAGGGGTGATTGATTGATGAGTCTGAGGTTTCAACAACTAGATTGACGGTTTGGTGGTTGTTTTTTGGATCTGAAAATTAATGCATCACAGTCGACAGGATTCAATTCGACCATGGAACCCCCCCCCCCCATGTTCAGTCGTAGATGTAGGTATTGTTTAAGGGATACGTAATTATCTTAAAATTTAAATTTTTCTATGTTAGTCTATTTTATTAATAGTATGCATTATGGAATTTTATTTATATGCACTCCATATAAAATGTCCATTTTAAAATATTTTTCAAAATCTATCACTCTTAATATTGAATAAATATTGTACTACTTGTATTGATCAAACTCAAGGTATTAGTTGAGAATGTTCACCGATTAATGCCGTCTAATTAACCTAATTTATGATATTTTACATGATGAAAACTACCCCAGTTGATGCGTCTTGTTCATCAACCGTCCCAATAAATGAGTTGGTTAACCATCCATTCAACGTCTGGAACAAGTTTTAATACTCTAATTAATGCCATGAAATAGCCAATGTGTTCGAGAAAGTAACATATTAAACATTACCAAGCTTTATGCTTTAGTTTACTACAAAAGACAAACTGTTCCTACGATATTTTATGCTTTACATTATATTAACCTACAAAGATACAATGTACGGTTTTCATAGCTTGTTATTGAAAGATATTTACCCATTCAGTCTCAAGGTCGCATCTCATCTATTACTAGCAACTATGACTAGGCCCTGGATCCATCATTGTATCCATTTCTGGTGGAGTAACTCTTTTTCCAATAAGCATTTCCACAGTGGGGCATTTTCTTTTCCGCCCAACCCTTGGCCTTGATCGAAACTGCTCATCGGACTCTATGAAGTTCCCCCTGAGTAGGAAACAGTTGCCAACTGTTATTCCTAGTGATTGTTTTGATGGGATGAAGGATTTAATGGTCCTAGTTTTATCAAACATGAATTTACACGGACCGATCCCAGAGTCAATAGGCCGGTTGGGCAGCCTTCGGGCAGTTTATCTCGACGAAACCACTTTAACGGTTCGATTCCAAGTAACTTCAGGGACTTGAAGAATGTTAGTGAGCTGAGACTGAATGATAATCACTTAACCGGTTGGGAGAGGAATGGTGTGGAAGATGGGTCGTAAGCTTAGGCTTAATAACAATTCAGGACTCTGTTATAATGCAAATAATGGCTTTGAAGATTCCCTGGATACATCCTCTGATAGGGGCATCGGTTTATGTGATGCATCTAAACCCGGTATAGCAAAGACAGTGCAGCACTTGTCCAGCATCAATGGTGGTATGAAAAGAACAATGAATGTATCAACAGGAGCAGTTCAAAAAACTTCAGCTTCTGTTAGGTTATCTCAGTTAACAACATTCTTGTTGTTCGTTTTGCTGTCTTTGTAAGGGAAATGGAAGGGCTTGTAATTACAGTTTTGTACATCTTAAATTTAAGCTCGTAAATTAATCATTTGTTGTTTAATTAACACACAATAAGTGCATCTGACATTAATCAGAATTGCAGCTTGGGATAATTAAAGAATAAAGGAACTAAGAAACTTTTTCAATGCAAGCCAATGGTTCAGGTTTCTGACACTATGTTTCTGTGTTGAACTACGAAACAAAATCAAAATTTGCATTTTATAGATTCAAAGACACATTCTTCTAGATTTTATTTCATTTTTTAATTATTCCACTGACAAAAGCTATTTTGTCTTGTTGGAGATTATAAAGTAAATGAATTCTTTTTCTTTTACTAATCATTGGTAGGCCTACAAACTAAAGAGAATCTTTGTACGTTGAAGTTCAATTTTAAAAGCTTCAACCATATAAACCCAAAATCAACGTATCAAACGATCAATAAAATTAAAATGGCAAAGAAATAATTAATCGAATGAACACTTTTCAAATTACTTCTTGAACTGTTTTTGTTAGACAACAAATCTATACCAATAGAAATTAATGTTGAAAGTAAAAAAAATGGCAACATTAATGGGACGGCTGATTTGGTCCAAGTTGGCAACACATTTTGATTGAAAATTGGTAAGGGAAAATTACCCAATTTAGTCCCTACACTTTAGGGTATTTGCAATATAAGTCCTTAAGCTTCAATTATAAATACTCTAACCCATTTAGCTTCAAAACCATCCCAAAATCATTCTAGCTTTCTCCCAATACTATAGAATTTAGAGAGTTTTCTTGAGAGTTGTTTTCTCCTTTTAAATCGAGAGAAGTTGTAATTCCTATTTTCTCATAATGAAATTCTTCTATCTTTGCCCGTGGTTTTTACCCTATATTATTTAGGGGTTTTCCACGTAAAATTTGTGTCTTCTTTATCTTCATTTTTATTTTCTCAAATTATCAGTTGCGATTTTACTCTATCCGATAGACGTATTCCGCAACAATTGGCATCAGAGCCAGATTTGAGTGTGTAATATCTACTTATTGTCTTTGTGGTTGCCACCAAAAGGTGAATCCTTCAACATAAGAAAATAAGAAGTTATTACCCATTCTTTGAAAGTTCCAGAGAACTATTCACGATAGTGAAATAGTGAGAGCTATCCGTAATAGAAGCTATGGCTACGAAATTTGATATTGAAAAGTTCAATGGGAGAAATTTCTCATTGTGGAAATTGAAGATGAAGGTCATCCTGAGGAAAGACGATTGTCTAGCAGCTATCAGTGAAAGGCCAGTAGATTTCACAGATGACAACAAATTGATCGAAATGAACGAGAATGTTATGGAAAACTTTCATCTAGCATTAGCAGATGAAGTATTGTCAAGCATCGAGGATAAGAAGACATCTAAGGAGATATGGGATCATCTCACCAAATTGTACGAGGCCACATCGTTGCACAATAAAATTTTCCTTAAGAGGAAATTGTACTCTCCGGATGCCAGAATCTAATTCAGTGACGGAGCACTTAAACACATTGAACACTTTATTTTCTCAGCTTATATCCTTAAGATGTACAATATGAGAACAAGAATGTGTTGAACTTCTACTTCAAAGTCTACCTGATTCGTATGATCAACTCATCATCAACTTGACAAACAGTAATGTCACCAGTCTAGTCTTCGATGACGTTGCAGCTGATGTTCTACAAGAAGAAAATCGACGCAAGAACAAGGAAGACAGATAAGTAAATCTGCAACAAGTAGAAGCGTTGACAACGATGAGAGGGAGATCAACAGAACGTGACCAAAGCAACAGTCACAAATATGGTAGATCAAAGTCGAGAAGCAAGAAGAATTTAAAGTGGTACAACTGTGGAAAGAATGGTCACTTGAAGAATGATTGTTGGAGTCTAGGTAAAAACTCCAATCCACAAGGCAATACCGCAAACACTTCAGATGATGGAGATGCTCTATATTGTGAAGCGTCAACCACCGTGGAAGGTAAAAAAAGATTTACAGATATATGGCTCATTGATTCGGGAGCAACATATCACATGAACTCAAGAAGAGAATGGTTTCATCATTATGAACCTGTCTTAGGAGGATCTGTGTATAATTGCAATGATCATGCCTTAGAGATCGTTGGCGTTGGAACCATCCAATTGAAGATGTATGATGGAACAATTAAAGTTGTTCGAGATGTGCGGTATGTGAAAGGCTTGAAGAAAATTTTATTATCCTATGTATTGTTGGATAATAATGCAAGCAATATTGAAACACGGAAAGGAATCATGAAAGTGTTCTGTGGAGCGCTTGTGGTGATGAAAGGCGAAAATAT